GACAATTCTCTTTGGTTCTCTTGCATTTCTGTGTCTTGTCAACAAAGCACTGACCACCTTTTGTTCTAGATTATCTTTTCAAAGGTGCTTGTAGAGCAAACAGTTTTAAAAGACAGAGGCAGTGTCTTGCTCTGGAGCAATCAGCAGGTTTGCATAGAGCCTTGGGAGATTGGGACAGTCTCTCTCCAGGGCCAAAGGAGTAGGTTTGCTTACTGCCCATTATAAAAGATGTGGGCTCCTTATGATCTGGTTCCTCTCCTATAATGTAATGCACTGTGCGTGCAGGCATTGTTCTGGGCCCATGGGGCCATGCCCTTATGGGACTTGGAGGCAATGGGAGCTGATGCCAATGTGCTGATGCTCATGCCGCTTGCAAGGCCATCATGAAGTCTTTTGTCTCTGACCCAGGAGTCTCGTGTTTTCTGCTGGCATCCAGGAGTCTGGGATAAGCTAATGTAATTGGCTTGAAAATAGGGTAAAATCCCAGATCTTACTCTAAAATCTCAAATCTGGTGGACTAGTGCTGCTCATACTGAGGTCAACACTGTTGACTAATCTTTTGAGTTTCAGGTCTGTTTCCTGAAACTCAGTCTGTTTCCTGCTTCCAGTAAACTCAAAAGAAGTCCCAAATTATAAAAATATACATAAACCAAGAAAGAATTGCTTTAATAAAAAGTACACTCTACTTTGCAAAAGGGTTTATTATGCGTCTTTTTTACAAAAATAGCATTTAGGATACCTAAAAGGTGATATGATTTGTCCCAAAGAGAAAAATTTACACAGAAGTTTTTAGGAATAAGCCTTAAGATTAAACAAGGTTCACTCCTACTTTTCTGTTAGAGGTGCAAATGCCAATAGGTCAGGATTGGGAGTGGAACTTCTCAGGGATGATTATCAAACCGCCGTCTCCTTCCTAAGGATCAGCTGGCATGCTTGCTTACTAGCCCTCTCTACCTCATTATACTAAAAGTCAATTTCTGGAGTCTGTAATTGTAGATAACTGAGTCATCAATTTCCTGGGTTTGATAATGTACTGTTGTTACATAAGATATTACTACTGGGGAAGCTGGGCAGTGAGTACACAGCTCAGTGGCTGTGATAACGGAAAGTGAAGTGACCTTAAATTGGGACTAATGCCACCTATCCTGTAGTTTGGTCGTGGAATTGGAGGGGAGGAATATAGAGTGCCTAGGAGTTTTATAGGGCTTCCCAGGTGGTGCTAGTGGTAAAGAACCTGCCTGCCAAAGCAGGAGACGTAAGAGATGTGGGTTCAATCTGCGTCGGAAAGATCCCCTGGAGGAGGGCATGGCAAGCCACTCCAGTATTCTTGCCTGGAGAATCCCATGGACAGAGGAGCCTGGCAGGCTATGATCCATGGGGTCACAAGAGTTGGACACAACTTAGTGACTAAACCACCAAAGGTCTATGAGCCTCCGGACAGGAGCCTGTAGCCAGAGCACAGCAACTGGCCTAATGCTCCAAAGACACCCCCAAAACCCCTGCCTGGGCAGCAAAGATGCACATCACGTCCCAGTCACCTCTAAAGCTAAAATCAAGGTGCCTCTGGAGACCACAGGGGCGCCCTGCTTCCTGCCCTTGGATTCCCCTTGCTCTGAAATTCCAGGCAAGGAAAAGTGCTGGCGGAGCTGTTCCTGGACCTGGCTGCTGCCCACCCAGGCTGCCTGCCGGAGCGCCGGCTGCTGGGTTACCTCAGCGTCTGTGAGCACCGAGGTTCTGCTGAGTCACCGCGCCAGGGCTCGGCCCTGGGGAATCAGCAGGCGACTGCAGATGCCCTCTCCAGAGGCAGGGAGGTGGGAACAGAGCCTCCAGCTGGTGTCGGGTAATACAGTCTACCTGTAGGCATCCTTCCTGGGGCCCCTTACCAGCTGATGCTCCCACCCTGCGCTCTGTGGGTGCTGGCTACTAAGGGCTCACAGCTCCCCTTCTGTAGGGATACGCCCTCAGCCCTCAAGAGCACCTGTCCACATTTCACACTGCTGGGAGAGGGGGCAGCTCATGATCACAGTGACTGATATACTACTATGGGGAGTATAAGCATTGTCCCCTAAGAGGGGACAACTCTGTGGTGCCGTCCACCCTCCAGAGCTCCTCACAGGTTCAGGCTGAGGCCAGACTTAGCTGACCCCGTACCTCAGCCCAGAGTCTTCCTCTTTCCGGGACTGCTCCCCTCACTGACCCGGGATGTTTACCTGAGAGCAGTCCTCTGAAGTCATCTTGCCTAAGAACTCTCGTCTCAGGCTCTGCTTTCCAGAACCTGAACGAAGGCAGGCAACATTCATCACTGCCCTTCTCTGAAACCCTCATTTCCTAGGGGAGCCCCTTCGATTCAGGGTTGTGGGGTGGCTTGGGAACCCCCAGGCCCACTCTAACCCTTACTTGCTTGGTTCTGCTTCTGTTGGTTTTTTTTTTTCCCTCAATCTTTCTCCTTCCTCTTTAAGCTAAGAGCTGAGTAAAGCCTGAGAGGGTTAAGGTAGCTCCTAGTGAGTGAGGGAAAAGCCAGTCACAGGGCCTGGGGATCTGAGGGTGGGATTCCAAATGACCAACAATGTCCATTCTGAAGTTCTGGAGAGCAAGTGAGCAAAAGGGAAGATCTGGAGAGAGAGCTCTGCTGAAGGAAGGGGAGAAATGCAGAAACGCACAAGAAAAGGAAACTTCCTTGAGGATGGAGGGATGGGGTAGGCATGAGGGGCCAGTCAGTCTCATTCCTCTAGACAATAACACACATGATGCACAATATCCTCTCTTGGGGGCTGGCCGAGTTCAGTGCCTTCTCCTAGGAGTTGGATATTTTGGGTGGGGGTGGGGGTAGGAGGGAGGGGCAGCCTTTTAAATTAACAGTTGCCATTTATTGAGCACTTACTATGGGACAGGCACTGTGCAAAGTATTTCACATGAATTCTTTTACTCTTCACCCCAATCCTAGAAGAGGAACCTGAAGTTCAGAGAGGTCTCTGTACTGCAGCAGGAGGCTTTTGATGCCTTGGGCTCACAATGAGCTCCTTCTCCATCAAAATTGGAATTTCAGGGAATTCCCTAGCAGTCCAGTGGTTAGGACTTGGCACTTTCACTGCCAGGGCCTGGGTTTGATCCCTGGTCAGGGAACTAAGATCCCGCAAGCTGAGTGGCATGGCCAAAAAAAAAAGGAATTTCACAGGGATAGGAAGGGTCACATCCTACCTTAAGTGAGTCTATGATTAAGGAGTAGACCTTCCCTCTCTCTTAGCTTGAAGGTTCCTTTAGATGAAGGAAACAAATCCAGATCTCCCTGGATTCACCCAGCCACCCCAGTGCCTGGCCCTGGGCACTTATTCCTGGGCCCCGCTCAGGCTGAGCCCCTCATATACACCCAGTGAGTAAATAACAGTGAAGCGCTTTCTCCCTGGGTCGCTGGCCACAAGTGGGGGAGAAACTGGTTCTTCTTGATAAACAGGCAGCCTTCATACCCCGAAGCCGGGTCCACTCAGCAACACGGCCTGGCACTGGCTTCCTAGGCTCTTGGACACTTGTGTCCACAGCATCCTAGCTGGGCTCCCAGGTCCTTGGTGGGCGGAGAGGAGAATCTGACTGTACTGGAGCAACATCTAAGGTCACTACAAACCTGGGTGTTGGATGTTCCAATTCCCTCGAGGCTCAGTGGAAAGCCAGGCAGGGTGCAAAAGTCCCCCACGTTAACTCCTGGGCTGGGGAATGGAGGCAGTCTTCTGCCTCCATGGAAGGGGCCCAGGGCTGAGATTCCCAACACCCTCACTGACTTGTTCTCATCTTTTCTGTTCTGTAGGATTTAGAGGTTCTTTTTTTGTAGCTAAATCAATTCTCTACAGCTTTACTATTAGACGGGGAGGGCAGGCAGCAATACCTCCTCTTGTCTTTCATGGATTTTGAGGATGGAGGTACATTTCTTAGAGAAGAACCACTCTCTGGGGGAGCTGCCCCTCAGTAGGTTTTCAAGTCAACAAGCAGGTACTAACCACGGGCAGGCCACGTGCCAGGGATTAATGAGACGCAGACCTGCTCCTTGCAATGGCCCCACTGATCCCTGTCATCCTGGAGGCTGGCCCAGGGAGGGCATGGAGGGTAAAGACCAGTGGAGGGCAGCTCCCCAGGAACCAGCCCAGCCCACCAGCCTGGGGAAAGACAGGGCATTGGAGAGCCAGCAGGCAGTACCACCCACACAGTTTAGGGCAAAGAGCCCAGTTTGGGGCAGGAGACCAAATTCACTCCTCAGCTCTGCCACTTTTATCATCAGTTACTTAACATCTCTGAACCCCAGCATCTTCATCTCTCAAGCAGAAATTATAATGCATGCCTCAGTTTGGAGATTTGTATATGATCACATATTTAAAAGCACTTTGTAAGCTATATATTCCTATACCAATTGAAGACATCACAGTAATAGCAGGTTATGACACACCCCAGGAGAGTCCCTCTCGATTACACAACATAATCAATTGCCTTGAACATGCTCCAAAACGGTGTGATGGTTAATAGCCTTTTGTCCAGACAGATCTGGGTTCAAATCCTCTCTCTGTCAGCTCACAGGCTGAGTTATGTAAGTGGGCAGGGCCTCGCTGGGTAACTGTGCCAGGAAGACTTGAGCAGGGTGGGAGGCAAAGTGTGCTCAATTTAAGGTTATCTGTGATTACAATGGGAGCCAGTGGAGAGTTCAGTCTGCAGTTTTTCATCCTTTCATGGGAGAACTTGAGCTCTCTATGCTTTTTATAAAAAGGAAACCGAAATCCCAGAGCTGAGAAACTCCTCAGAGGTTACACAGTCCAGGGCCAGCAGAGGTAGGACGGGCCCCCTTGAAGACAATGGCCTTCAAAATCAGAGACTTCTGATCCCCTGGGGGTTGTTAACATGCAGGTTGCTAGGCCCACTCCGGCCAGAATTCTGGTGGAGTTGCCAACCTTCTCTTGGCCTAGAGAATACCCTGCTCCAGGGTACCCCCATCCCATCAGCAGGGACCTTCCAAAGCTTACCTGGGAGGAAGGGGATGATTCTTTGCTTGGGGTCCTTCTGGCCACCTTCAATGGGAAACTTATCCAAAAGCTGCATCTGAGAAGTCAGACAGAGGGACAGGATTCAGAAGACTGGAACTACTCCGCTTTCCCAACTCTGTTTCACTGCTCCCGGGCCCCACCGCCCTCACACGGATGAGTGATGCCTCAAATCCCTCATTTCACAGACGATTAACAAACCACATGGGGCATGAGTGAGCGCAGGCAGAGCTCTTTGTGCATCAAAGGGGGTGTCTGAACCATCTCAAGGAGGCCTGAGGGTGCAGGGGGAGGTGTCCAGAGATGCCCCTGAGCGAGATTGGGGTAGGGGCCAGCAAGATTTCAGGCCAGGCTGCAGGTGAGGTTTCTAGAGGCTTCTCTGGACCCAGTTTTATTCATATGTCATATGCTGGGTAAGCTCTTTAGTCATACGTCATCCAACCCCATCCCCCCCGCGCGCCCCCCCCCCCCACAACCCGGGCCAGGATGCGGAAGGTCCCACCTGATACATCAGACAGACCACCCACCTTCCAGAACCGCTCTGCAGAAACAGACCCAGATGTTATTTTAATTGCAAAACCAAGTCTAGCCCCTTGCCCCCTCCTCCGTCTCCTACCTTCCCACCCTGAGGTCGCTGCTGTTTTTCCAGGGACAGACCCATTGGAAGAGCTTCCAGGGTTCTGGAAGAGCAGCTGTTTTTTCTTCCGCTATTCTGGGCTGAAATTCTGTATAAACTGGAAAAACACACAGGAGACGGGGTGGACGAAGCCACAGCCCCTGTATGTGTGTGTGCGCGCGTGTGTGTGGTTAGCCTCCCTTCGAAGGCGAGGGAGGGCAGGAGGTGGGGCGGAGTGGAGAGTCGGACCCAACTCACTGCCCCAGCTGTGTGACCCTGGGCCAGGCTGCAAACTTTTGCCTCATCAGTAAAATGAGGAAGATCACTCACATGATGACTGAAAGTTCATCCCTTCTTTCTGATATTAATTAATATTTACTGAGCGTCTTCTTAGAACACTGGGCACTTAGAAAATCAGCAGTAAAGAAAAGAGACAAAGTTCCTGCCCTCAGGGAGTTTATATTCTGGTTGGTGAGAACACACAGTAACCAAATATGTGCTATGTTGTGGGGATACGTGCTATAAAGAAAAATGAAGTAGGATAAGGTGGTGGGGCAGAACAGGAAGAAGCAGTGATTTTATATAGCATGAGGGAAGCCTCACAAATCAGATGGCAATGTGGCAGAGACCTGATGGAGGTGAGGAAGTGAGCCACAGGGGAGGGGGAGAATGGTCCAGGCAGGGAGGAGCCAGTGGAGTGGAGGCTGGAGAGGAGTGCGCAGGGCTGGAGGTACAGGTAATGGGATCCAGGCAGAGGCGGATCATGCAGAGGATGGCTGGAGCTACAGGCAAGGGAAGGGGCCACACTGGGGAAACAGGAGGTCACTTAGGAGTCAACTTGGACCAAACTGCTGCCTTGGAGGTGGTGAAGTGTGGTCCTATGCCAGATTCGACATGTGCGTGGTATGTGTGCATGCATGTATGTGTGTGCACACATGCCCATGTGTGCATATTCCCATCTACCCACCTGCCTGCCCAGTTCTAACACATGATTTTAGGATCCTCTCTTGCACAGTCATAATCCAACATACACAGGCTATTTAGAGCCCACACGTGAAGGGTGGGTCGTGGTTGGATTCCATTCAAAACAACACAACTACTTGACCCTTATTAACTTTCACTTCCCTGAACACAGACCAAAATTTAACAAAAGCTGGCTCATGGGTTTTCAAACCCCAATGTTGTAAGTCCACCTCTCTAACATTTAATAATTGCCTGCTACGTGCAAATACAGACAATGGACCATAACACTATAAACTTGTACTTGGGATTTTTTATATTAATAGATTTTCAAATAAATTCTACATGGAGTAGAACTCTTATTTTTTTTCTCTCCCCATTCCCTCAGCCATATTCTATTTTGTAATTTTTTTTCTGTATTACACAAGTAATTCATATTCATTGAGGGGAAAAACTAGAAATTACAGAAGCAGTAATTGGACTGACTCATTGGAAAAGACCCTGATGCTGGGAAAGATTGAAGGCAGGAGGAGAAGGGATGACAGACGATGAGATGGTTGGATGGCATCACTAACTCAATGGACATGAGTTTGAGCAAGCTCCAGGAGTTGGTGATGGACAGGAAGCCTGGCATGCTGCAGTCCATGGGGTCACAAAGAGTTAGACATGACTGAGAGACTGAATGGAACTGAACTGACAGAAGCACTAGATAAAAAAGAGAGCAAGAGTCACTTATTATCCTTCCCCCTGAAAAAGCAACATTAATATTTGGGATATATATCCTTTCCATATGTGCATGTAGATAAAATAAGCTCATCAATGCATTACACTATGTAATGGCATTGTCTCATGTCAGTGATTATTTCCATACTAGCATTCTTAATTGTGACACAGAATTTTGATGTTTGAATGGGCCATGGTTGATTTACCTACACTCTACTGTTGGATGAGATGGTTAGATAGCATCACTGACTCAGTGGACATGAACTTGAGCAAATTTCAGGAGATAGTGAATGACAGGGAAGCCTGGCGTGCTGTAGTCCATGGGGTTGCAAAGAGTCGGATGTGACTGAGTGATCAAACAACAACTACTGTTGGATATTCACTACTTACACATAACACCAGAGTGAACACCTTTCCATGTACCTATGTACACTTTAATACTTCTTCTACCCTTTGTTTCATCTCATTGAAATCTATGCAAATCTATAGGTGCCTTAAATCTCTTCTGGAAGAAGACTGAGGGTAAATAGATGGATATAACTAACGTGCTATAGGTCAGGCCTGGGGCCTCTGAGCAGCAGCTTCATAGGATTTCTGAGAAACGGCACATAAGAGGATGGGGACAAAGGCAGGCCCAGCTCAGTGCCCGGTATAGACTAATTTGCCCTCATCAGATCACTTTTCTCCTGCAAGAGGGAGGCGTGCTGTGCCTGGCAAGCCAAGAGACTTGCCCAAATTGCCCTGTCTCTTTGGGGCTCGCAGGAGTCAGGCTACAGAAACTTTAAGTTGCTTATCTGGTCTGGTCTACATTTGTTCACTGCTAAATTCTTTTTCAGACCTAGGATACTGAGATTCTCACCAACAATGCATAGGGAAGGTGGTGCCAAGAGAAGTGGGCAGGGGAAGATTCACGCAGTCCTTCCTTTCCTCTCAATACATTTGCCATGTGCCTTCTAGATGCCAGCCCTCTGTGAGGTGCTAGAAATGAATTACATCACACTCTTTACACCAAGGAGCTCATGATCTGGATCTAGAGCAGGGCTTCACTGCCTTCAACACACATACAAAGCACCTCTGCCAACATGTTAAAAAGCAGGTGCTGATTCAGTGGGTCCAGGCAGGGGCCCGAGATCCTCCATTTCTACCAAGTTCAGGTGATGCCGAAACTGCTGGTCCATGGTCACATTCAGCAACAAAGCTCTAGAGCTGTCTCATGTTGCAGTTACCACCCACATGTGGCTGTTGAAATATGGCCCATCCAAATCAAGATGCCCTGTAAGTATAAAATATGTGCCAGGTTTCAAAGACTTTGTACAAAACAAAAAAAAAGTGAAATATCTCATTAACAATGTTTGTACTGATTGTATGTTGAAATGATAATATTCTGGATATGAAAGTTTAAGTAAAAATATTCTTAAAATAATTTCACCTGTTTTATGCTTTTACATAGCTACTAGAAGAATTTAAATTCTATATATGGTTGATATGATATTTGGATATTATATTTATATTACATTATATACTATGGACAGGCTGCTCTAGAGCAAGATGGTTCTCAAAGCATAGCTTAAAGTCTGCCCAAAACCGATGCCCTGGTGAAGGGAGGAGTCTATTAAAAATGCAGTTTCCTGGGCTCTGCCCAGAGGTCTGTGAAGCTTTGTCCTGGTGCTAGAGAGAGACAAGCAAGTTCTGGAGTGACGGGGAATAGTGAGGATGTATGAACAGCATCCTGTGGGACCTGAAGGGAGAGGTCAGGGAAGACTTCCTGTAGGAGGTGAGGCCAGCTCTGTCTAGGCAGAGTGATGGTCACATTCCTTGTGCCTTCCTTGCCAAGAGCAGCGTGACCTCTCCCCCCTGGGTTCACGTGCCTCCTGGAAGGCAGGGGTCATCGACAGCCCCGCAGATTTGAGTTTTCCCTCAGAAGGCCTCTTGAGGATGCTAGGCAGCCGGCCTCTCTCCTACCTCCTCCTGCTACAGCTTTTCCTCTTCCCCCACCTCCGTCTTAATCTGGGCCCCTCTGAGGCCAAGACAAGCCCATGTAATGAAAGTACTGGGTCAGTGGGCCCTCCCCAGAGCTGAAAGCACCCAGCTGACCTGCCGCCCTCTACCCCGAGCCCTCAGGTGCAGATGCCAGCTACACCTGTCATCTGACTCCACACCTGTCATCTGACTCCACACCACTGCCCAGCCTCGGTATCTGTTCTCCTGGTCTTCTCCAGGGCTTACTGGCCACAGGAAGGCGATGCACTGCTAACCAGATGCTGGTGACATTTTCTCTGCCTACAGGTCACCTTTCAAAGAAAGCAAATCCCCCTGCTCAGACTCCAGAGTAAACCAAATACAGGCAGCCAGCTGAGTTTACTCAGCGTGGGGGGCTCGCAAGACCTGACCGGTCAGGGGCGTGGCCCGTGCACAGCACGTCAGGGCTGGTGATAAACATCTGCTGTCACATGTAACACACAAGGTGAATGTCCCCCTACCTGGGGCCAGGTGGGCTGCAAAGTGGGTCCGATAACCCGTTGTTGTTTAGTCGCTAAGTCGTGTCTGACTCTTTTGCGACCCCTGGACTGTAGCCCTCCAGGCTCCTCGGCCCGTGGGATCTCCCAGGCAAGAATGCTGGAGAGGGTTGCCATTTCCTTCTCCAGGGGATCTTCCCAACCGAGAGATCGAACCCACATCTGCATTGCAGGAGGATTCTTTACTGCTGAGCTACCGGGGAAGTGGAGTTATACAACCTGCTGGGTGTCTAATTTGCAGGA